GTAGCGGACCTCTCTATCACTCCAAAAAAGATTGAATTCAAGTGAGGGATGAAAATAGGATTTTTTTCATTATGGCTAGATGAATATCTTCCATAGTGAAAATTTTTGGGAAAATTCACGAGAGCTATGAAGCTTCGTAGAACCACGAAATTTATTCAACTATCTCAATCATCTTTATACATGTTTATCAAATATTTTTTTTATTGATTACTTGGCTTGAGAAAAATCTACAGGTTTCTAGACTCAGTGATGAAGAGCTGTGGTGTTGAGACCTGGTTTGTCCTTCTGTATTACATTGCCGAGTAATTTTTTTATCTCAGCAATAGCTTTTCCAGGGTTGAGACCCTTGGGGCACGTTCTCGTGCAGTTCATGATGGTGTGACATCGGTAGACCGAGAAAGGATCACGCAATTTGTCCAGACGTTCTTTGGTCTGGGTGTCTCGAGAATCGATAATCCATCGGTATGCCTGGAACAATTAAATTTAAAAATTCGTCTTTCCCTTTTGGTATAATTTTTCCCAAAAGGGAAATTTTCTTCGGATTGTGTATCTCTCCATTTTCACTCACTTGCATGAGAACTGCAGGCCCCAGGTATTTATCTCCGTTCCACCAGTAGCTGGGGCACGAGGTACTGCAGCAGGCGCACAAAATGCACTCGTAAAGACCATCCTATTCCCAAAAATAATCCACAAATCAATATTCAATCATTTCACCTGCCAATTGATAATTGTAATTCAAATTCAAGCTTCGATAATTCGATGAATCGAAAACCATTGACTTTAGGCAGAAACACCAAAGATCTTTTTCATCAGAAATTCAATAATCTACAAAAAATTCCTCTAGCATGTCGTCCATAAATCGATAATTTTCCAGATAAATCGATAATTGTATGAAAATATAAACCATAATTAAAGGGACAGAAATCAAATTCTGGAAAATCGACGGACCAATTTTTTACGATCGTCAACGCTCTGCAGATACTGTTGTGTTCCCACTTTCTTTCCATCCGTGCGTTGGAGCCAGGGCTGAATGCTCCTGTACTGATTATAAAAATTATTCATATCCGGAACGAGATCTTTAACGATGTACATGTGAGGGAGAGGATAGATTTTACTGGAACTCTTGACATCGCTGTCGATCTTGCTGATGCAGGCAAGGGTGTTGGTTCCACCGATGTTCATGGCACAGGAACCGCAAATTCCCTCTCTGCAGGACCTTCTGAATGTCAAAGTTGGATCTATTTCATTTTTTATTTTTATCAGCGCATCCAAGACCATCGGTCCACAGGTGTTCAGGTCCACAGAGTAGTCCTGCATGTAGGGTTTCTCATCAGGTTTATCCGGATTCCATCGATAAATCGAGAAGGTCTTCAACCTGGCCTCGGCATTCTGACATGAAGAGGCATGAAGAGATCTCACCTGAGGATCAAAACCCACAAAGCATGCAATACAGTTTTCAAACCAATATCTCAAAACCCAGAAGCGATTACAAAATGCAATTCTAAAAATTGTTGGCTATTTTTTTTATTACGTATGCAATTTAATTGCATTCATCAAATAATGAAGTCGGGGGCTTCGATGGGAGTTCAACTGTCAGTGGTGGATAGTCATTCAACAATTAAAATAATTGAACCACGAATTTATTAGGGTTGACTCACTTGCTGGAAACACTGTCTCCAAGCTGGCCTGATGCTTGCCATCTCGAGAGCCAAAACAAAACAGTAATTATTCCTTTATTTTGCTACTCAAAATGATTTCTCAATTTACTGCAATTTCGTCGGCGTATGACTTGGTTATGTAATTCAACCACAAATTCTGGGACGGTGGCGTGTGAACTAATTCTCAAATCGTACCTGTGAATAAAACAGTGAAAATACATAAAAATTAATGAATTTCATAACAAATCCGAAATATCCAGTTAAAAATACTGACACCCTTCATCTTTACTGGAATTTTATTAAAAGCAGAGGGACGTGTTGAAGAAATTTGAATATTTCAAAATTTTTTTGAATATTCGAAATGTTTAATAGAAACAAATGGAGACAAATGAAAAGTGAATTTAAAAAATGAGAAATGATCGATTATTTCCCAGAGAAAACTGGAGAAGTCCGGGAAATTGTTAAATTATTCTCAGGTGATACCTACATGACCAATTTCTCGATAAAAAAGGTATCTCCATTGAACCCATCCATCAGTGTTAAAAAAAATGGCTGACAGTGAGAAGGAGGAAGCCCACAATCTCGTAAGGAATTCTCCTAACATTTTATCTAATCGTAATGACCTTGTGAATGATTTACTCATTCATAGATAACCGTGATATCAGTCCCGAACATGTCGTTACCATCCAAATTCTTTGAAACATTAATTACGAGCTTCACCCACATCCACAGGTTATGTTTAGCCCCCAGACACTGAATTCCAACTGACAGCACTCATAGAAATTAATATTTGACAGCTACCGATACGTCACATCACTCACACATTGGAATAATGATAAGTTATCAAAGAGCGGATGAGAGAATAAAATATTGTGGGGGATATTAATTCGATATCTGTCCTGTAGTAATTCATGTCATTCAGGAAGAATTCATCTGCTGTCGATAAATTATTGATTTATTTCGCTACTGGACGACTTCTCACTATTATTTATTATCATGGTGATAATGGATGAATCTTTGAGTGCAACATTTATTCTATTTTATCACATTTTTTCGGCTGGGTGGAGTTAATTGACGGTTTTTTTTTATTCGTTTTACAGCAAATGGAGTTCGAGTGGGTGTTGCATGATGAGGTGCACTCGTCTTTGTCACAATTACGAGGAATTTTAATGGCAAGTGCATTTGTTAATTGTTTTATGTGTTTCGTAACACGCGTGCATCTGTCTCGATGATTTTTGCCTCCGACTGTCAATAATTTAATGGACTATTTATTCAGGAATGTGCACAAAGATTTCCTCTGGCGCTCTTCGGTAATGACCAACAATGCAAAACCGACAGATTTGTTTTTGCTGGGCCTCACGACCAAGTGAAATGCGTTGCAGTGCTCACAGGGGACAGCATAACTAATGCAGTAAATAGAAAATTATAATGTTTATTTACCTCATGTCTAATTCTCAATTTATCTATTCATCATTATTTATTCCAGTAATGAACGATATATTAAATAAATTCCAATGGATGATTTGATTTTTTTATTGATTGGAATTAAAAATCTTATTCAGGAAGTGACTTTCAAAGTCCAGAGACAGCAGAGTGTCTCGATGAGGACTAGTATACAGAACGATCATCCATGGAAATTACAACAAATTCAGGACGCAGCTAATCACCTCCAACAGGCCATAGCACACATTGACAATGTGGATAAACAGTATTCATTCAAAACTTCCGACGAGGTGATGCATATCCTCGGAAATATTCTTGGATGCCTCCAGAGAAGCAGAACTAGTCTCATTGTGCCTAAGAAAAAAGCGATTGATGATTTGATCAAGAGCCGAAATATGGTAATACCATTCAAGCAATGATCGATTTTTTGGTTCTTATGATTTATTGATTTTTCAGAAATCATTGAATCCAAATTTACCGGAAAACTTGGCGATAAGTTTTTATATACAGAGTTACAAGCTCGTTCTGGCTGTTTATCAGTTGGAAAGTACCCATGGAAGTCTGAAATATGAGTCTCAGCAGGCTGAGTGCAGTGTTCCTTGGTTAAATGATGCTCTGGTGCTCCTGACGATATCCCTCCAGTTATGTCAAAGGTTAAAGGACAAGGTAATTCCCTCGAGACCCCCTAAGCCATTGAATAACCCTGCATTATCATAAAAAAAGCTTAATGTTTTCAATTTTCATCGAGACTACTTGATAATCACTGGTTTTTAAAAGGAATTCTCTGGAATTATTACAGATCTGTGTATTTTCCCAGTACAAAGACTTCACCGTGGGTTCACGAGTGCCATCGGCCATGGGCTGATAAACCCCAGTACTAAAGGACGTAATAAAACTCTTAACCATCAGTTTTTTTACGTAATTTCGGTTAAAATAGAAATTACGGTAACAGTCAATCTCCTAGAGAAGATAAATCAGCCATTAAGTTAGTGCCACCTAATTCAGGACGTAAAAACCCACTTGAAGTAAATATTTCTCTTCTTCAAACCTGAAATGTTGGAGCAATGATTTCCATTTATGTATTTGTCGTGTACTTCAATGTACAGAAAGAATTTTCACTCCAAAAAAATCAAGGATATAAAAAAATCAATTGCAGTCAATAATGATTTGTAAAATATTTGGATAAATTTGGCTGCAAAGAATTTTCCAAAAATTTTCATTTATGAATGTCATTATTGAGAATGGAAATATATTTCGGGGAATTTTGTCCGGAGTTACTCGCTAATTAACGAGAATAATTGTTTTTCCAATCACTGAAATGGGAAGAGTCTTAAAAAAACATCTGACAATAATTGTATTCAAGTTAGTGGAAGTTTTAATGGAATCGACGAACAATTATACGTTTAATTGGCATTGAGGTGTTTTAGCACGTTAATTAGAGGCCATGGATGGATTATGCAATGAATTTTCCCATCAGAATAAATTAATCATTTGAATTTGTTGGGAAAAGTGACTAATTACAACCAATTCGCACCGTTGTATGTCATAGAATAATTTATCAATGAATAAACAGTGATTGATATATTGTTTTGAGATAAATAAATCGATTTGAGTGATTGTTGCTAAAATGGTTCTCACGTAATCGTTGAGTAAGCATTTTTATGCTTAACATTATGTCAATTTTAGGACTTTTGTGCTAATAAATTTATTGTTTGTTCCAGTTAATGAGTTGTTTTCTTTATTAACACATCGATGAAAAATAGATAATAACCCTCGATCAATTAAAATATATTGGAAATTGATTTATTTCATCGATTGAAGTATTGAGTCGTGATTGAAAAATTTATCGTGTGGAAAAGTTTGAATGGAGGACTCCCGAAATTTGATAGATTAAAAAATTCTCACTTACTCATGTTTTTTTT